AGTGATTTCCAGCGCAACCAGCAGCACTACTGTGACCAGCACGACAGCGAGCAGCAGCAGCAGCAGCAGCAGCAGCACGCACAGTACCATCAGCGCCACCAGCAGCACTACTGTGACCAGCGCGAGTGGGATCAGCAGCACCACTGTCAGCAGCACCAGTGCCACCAGCAGCACCACTGTGACCAGCACGACTGGGACTAGCAGCACCACTGTCAGCACCATCAGCGCCACCAGCAGCACAACTGTGACCAGCACGAGCGGAACCAGCAGCGTTGTGACCAGCACGACTGGGACAGGCAGCAGCACACGCAGCACATTCAGCGTCACAAGCAGTACCACTGTGACCAGCACGACTGGGACCAGCAGCAGTACGCGCACCACCATCAGCGCCACCAGCAGCACCACAGTGACCAGCGCGACTGGGACCAGCAGCACCACTGTCAGCAGCACCAGTGCCACCAGCAGCACTACTGTGACAAGCACGAGCGGAACAAGCAGCATCATTGTCAGCAGCACGACCGGGATCAGCAGCACCACGCGTAGCAGTACCATTAGCGCAACCAGCAGCACCACTGTGACCAGCACGATTGGGACCAGCAGAAGCACGCGCAGCACCGTGAGCGACACCAGCAGTACCACTGTGACCAGCACGAGTGGAACCAACAGCACCACTGTGAGCAGCACCAGCGCCACCAGCAGCACCACAGTGACCAGCACGAGTGGCACCAGCAGCACCACTGTCAGCAGCACGACCGGGACCAGCAGCACCACGCGTAGCAGTACCAGCACAGCCAGCAGTACCACTGTGACCAGCACAACTGGCACCAGCAGCAGCACTCGCAGCACCATGAGCGACACCAGCAGCACCACTGTGACCAGCGCGAGCGCAACCAGCAGCACCACTGTCAGCAGCACCAGTTCCACCAGCAGCACAACTGTGACCAGCACGAGCGGAACCAGCAGCACAACTGTGAGCAGCACGACCGGGACCAGCAGCAGCACGCGTAGCAGTACCAGCGCCACCAGCAGCACCACTATGACCAGCACGACTGGCACCAGCAGCACTACTGTGAGCAGCACCATTAGCGCCACCAGCAGCACTACTGTGACCAGCACGAGCGGAACCAGCAGCACCACTTTCACCATCACCAGTGCCACCAGCAGCGCAACTGTGACCACAACGAGCGGAACCAGCAGCACCACAGTGAGCACCACGACAAGGACCAGCAGCACCTCGCGTAGCAGTACCAGCGCAACCAGCAGCACCATTGTGACCAGCACGAGTGTGACCAGCAGCACCACGCGCAGCACCCTCAGCGCCACCAGCAGCACCAGTGTGACCAGCACGACTGGGACCAGCAGCAGCACCACTGTCACCAGCACCAGCGCCACCAGCAGCACAACTGTGACCAGCACGAGCGCAACCAGCAGCACCACTGTGACCACCACGACTGGGACCAGCAGCAGCACGCGCAGCACCGTTAGCGCCACCAGCAGCACCAGTGTGACCAGCACGACTGGGACCAGCAGCACCACTGTGAGCAGCACCAGTGCCACCAGCAGCACAATTGTGACCAGCACGAGCGCAACCAGCAGGCAGCACCACTGTCAGCAGCACGACCGGGACCAGCAGCAGCACGCGCAGTACCATCAGCGTCACCAGCAGCACCACTGTGACCAGCACGACTGGCACCAGCAGCACCATTGTAAGCAGCACCAGTGCCACCAGCAGCACAACTGTGACCAACACGAGCGGAACCAGCAGCACCACAGTGAGCACCACGACCGGGACCAGCAGCACCACACGTAGCAGTACCAGCGCAACCAGCAGCACTACTGTGACCACCACGACTGGGACCAGCAGCAGCACGCGCAGTACCATCAGTGCCACCAGCAGCACCACTGTCAGCAGTACCAGCCCAACCAGCAGCATCACAGTGAGCACCACGACCAGGACCAGCAGCACCACGCGTAGCAGTACCAGCGCAACCAGCAGCACTAGTGTGACCAGCACGACTGGGACCAGCAGCAGAACGCGCAGCACCATCAGCGCCACCAGCAGCACCACTGTGACAAGCACGACTGGCACCAGCAGCACCACTGTGAGCAGCACCAGTGCCACCAGCAGCACAACTGTGACCAGCACGAGCGGAACCAGCATCACCACAGTGAGCACCACGACCTGGACCAGCAACACGCGTAGCAGTGCCAGCGCAACCAGCAGCACCATTGTGACCACCAAGACTGGGACCAGCAGCAGCACGCGCAGCACCGTGAGCGCCACCAGCAGCACCACTGTGACCAGCACGACTGGGACCAGCAGCAGCACTGTTAGCAGCACCAGCGCCACTAGCAGCACATCTGTGACGAGCACGAGCGCAACCAGCAGCACCACTGTGACCAGCACGACCAGGACCAGCAGAACCACGCGTAGCAGTACCAGCGCAACTAGCAGCACCACAGTGAGCACCACGACAGGGACCAGCAGCACCACTGTCAGCAGTACCAGCGCAACCAGCAGCACCACCGTGACCAGCACGACTGGGACCAGCAGGAGCAGCAGCAGCAGCAGCAGCAGCAGCAGCAGCAGCACCACTGTGACCAGCACGAGTGGGACCAGCAGCACAACTGTCAGCAGCACCAGCAGCGACACCAGCAGCACCACTGTGACAAGCTCGAGCGCAACCAGCAGTACCACTGTGACCACCATGACCGGGACCAGCAGCACGCGCAGCACCATCAGCGCCACCAGCAGCACCACTGTGACCAGCACGACTGGGACCAGCAGCACCACTGTGAGCAGCACCAGTGCCACCAGCAGCACAATTGTGACCAGCTCGAGCGCAACCAGCAGCACAACTGTGACCATCACGACTGGGACCAGCAGCACCACAGTGAGCAGCACCAGTGCCACCAGCAGCACAACTGTGAACAGCTCGAGCGCAACCAGCTCGAGCGCAATCAGCTCGAGCGTAACTAGCAGCACCACTGTGCGCATCATGACTGGGACCAGCAGCTCCACTGTCAGCAGTACAAGCACAATCAGCAGCATCACTGTGAGCAGCGCGACCGGGACCAGCAGCACCACTGTCAGCAGTACCAGCGCAACCAGCAGCACCACAGTGAGCACCACGACCTGGACCAGCAGCAGCAGCACGCGCAGCACCATCAGCGCCACCAGCAGCACCACTGTGACCAGCACGACTGGGACCAGTAGCACAACTGTCAGCAGCTCCAGTGCCACCAGCAGCACAACTGTGACCAGCTCGAGTGCAACCAGCAGCACCACAGTGAGCACGACGACCTGGACTAGCAGCACCACGCGTAGCAGTACCAGCGCAACCAGCAGCACCACTGTGACCACCACGACTGGGACCAGCAGCAGCACGCGCAGCACCATCAGCGCCACCAGCAGCACTACTGTGACCAGCACGACAGGGACCAGCAGCACCACGCGCAGCACCCTCAGCGCCACCAGCAGCACCAGTGTGACCAGCACGACTGGGACCAGCAGCACCTCTGTCAGCAGCAGCAGTGCCACCAGCAGCGCAACTCTTACCAGCACGAGTGCAACCAGCAGCACCACTGTGACCAGGACGAGCACTGTCAGCAGTACCAGCGCAACCAGCAGCACCACTGTGACCACCACGACTGGGACCAGCAGCAGCAGCACGCGCAGCACCATCAGCGCCACCAGCAGCACCAGTGTGACCAGCACGAGTGGGACCAGCAGCACCACTGCCAGCAGCACCAGTGCAACCAGCAGCACAACTGTGACCAGCTCGAGCGCAACCAGCAGCACCACTGTGAGCAGCACCAGTGCCACCAGCAGCACAACTGTGACCAGCTCGAGCACAACCAGCAGCATCACTGTGAGCAGCGCGACCGGGACCAGCAGCACCATTGTCAGCAGTACCAGCGCAACCAGCAGCACCACAGTGAGCATCACGACCTGGACCAGCAGTAGCACGCGCAGCACAATCAGCGCCTCCAGCAGCACTACTGTGACCAGCACGACCGGGACCAGCAGCACCACTGTGAGCACGACGACCTGGACTAGCAGCACCACGCGTAGCAGTACCAGCGCAACCAGCAGCACCAGCGTGACCAGCACGACCGGGACCAGCAGCAGCACGCGTAGCACCATCAGCGCCACCAGCAGCACTACTGTGACCAGCACGACAGGGACCAGCAGCACCACTGTCAGCAGCACCAGTGCAACCAGCAGCATCACTGTGACCAGCACGAGTGGGACCAGCAGCACCACTGTCAGCAGCACCAGTGCCACCAGCAGCACCACTGTGACCAGCACGAGCGGAACCAGCAGCACCACAGTGAGCAGCACGACTGGGACCAGCAGCGCCACGCGTAGCAGTACCAGCGCAACCAGCAGCACCAGCGTCACCAGCACGACTGGGACCAGCAGCAGCACGCGCAGCACCATAAGCACCACCAGCAGCAGTACTGTGACCAGCACGAGCGCAACCAGCAGCACCACTGTCAGCAGCACGAGCGCAACCAGCAGCACCACTGTGACCACCACGACTGGGACCAGCAGCAGCACGCGCAGCACCATCAGTGCCACTACCAGCACCACTGTGACCAGCACCACTGGCACCAGCAGCACCACTGTCAGCAGCACCAGTGCCACCAGCAGCGCAACTGTGACCAGCACGAGCGCAACCAGCAGCACCACAGTGAGCACCACGACCGGGACCAGCAGCACCACACGTAGCAGTACCAGCGCAACCAGCAGCATCATTGTGACCAGCACGACTGGGACCAGCAGCAGCACGCGCAGCACCATCAGCGCCACCAGCACCTCTGTGACCAGCACGACTGGCACCAGCAGCACCACTGTCAGCAGCACCAGTGCCACAAGCAGCGTAACTGTGACCAGCACGAGTGCAACCAGCAGCACCACTGTGACCAGCACGAGCGGCACCAGCAACACCACTGTCAGCAGTACCAGCGCAACCAGCAGCACCATTGTGACCAGCATGACTGGGACCAGCAGCAGCACGCGCAGCACCATCAGTGCCACCACCAGCACCACTGTGACTAGCACCACTGGCACCAGCAGCAACACTGTCAGCAGCACCAGTGCCACCAGCAGCACTACTGTGACCAGCACGAGCGCAACCAGCAGCACCACAGTGAGCCCCACGACCGGGACCAGCAGCACCACACGTAGCAGTACCAGCGCAACCAGCAGCACTACTGTGACCAGCACGACAGGGACCAGCAGCACCACTGTCAGCAGCACCAGTGCAACCAGCAGCACCACTGTGACCAGCACGACTGGCACCAGCAGCGCCACTGTCATCAGCACCAGTGCCACCAGCAGCACAACTGTGACCAGCACGAGCGCAACCAGCAGCACCACTGTGACCAGCATGACTGGGACCAGCAGCAGCACGCGCAGCACCATCAGCGCCACCAGCAGCACCACTGTGACCAGCACGGCTGGGACCAGCAGCCTCACGCGTAGCAGTATCAGTTCAACCAGCACCACCATTGTGACCAGCACGACTAGGAGCAGCAGCACCACAGTGAGCACCACGACCAGGACCAGCAGCACCACGCGTAGCAGTACAAGTGCAACCAGCAGCACCACTGTGACCAGCACGACTGGGACCAGCAGCACCACGCGCAGCACCATCAGCACTACCAGCAGCACCACTGTGACCAGCACGACTGGCATCAGCAGCACCATTGTCAGCAACACCAGTGCCACCAGCAGCGCAACTGTGACCAGCACGAGCGCAACCAGCAGCACCACTGTGACCAGCACGACTGGGACCAGCAGCACCACGCGCAGCACTGTCAGCGTCTCCAGCAGCACCACTGTGACTAGCACGACTGGGACCAGCAGCACCACTGTCAGCAGCACCAGTGCCACCAGCAGCACCACTGTGACCAGCACGAGCGGAACCAGCAGCACCACTGTGACGACAGGCAGCTCGATTTCGGGGACGTCCACGACCACCGCCACTTCCACGTCGACGCGTACCTCGGCCTCTGGTACATCCACCATAACGGCGACAGTCTCCAGGACATCCACAACTACTGCTACTGACTCGTCAACCGTCTCCTCGACCTCTCATACCTATTCTTTGTGGTCCTCGAGCACAACCATCTCGACATCTGTGACCTCCACCACCACCGGCACGCTCACGGATACGTCGACAACAACCATGACCATACGACCACAGGCACTTCGACAACCTCAGACAGTTTCACCGGTACCTCCACGGGCACGTCAACGACGTCGTTCCATACTACCTCAGCGTCCAGCACCACGACTCTGACAGGTTTAGGGTTTAGGGTTTAGGGTTTAGGGTTTAGGGTTTAGGGTTCAGAGCGCCCTGGCCGCGCTGAATGACACGGCGGGCGCGGCCGACTTCTCCGCAGCGGTTGCGGCAACGTTGGTTAACTTGGGCATCATGTCGTCGCATCGTCTACGGTACGCTAGCGATCCTGTCGTGGAGCTGTGGATGCACACCACGGCGACCCACACGTCGACGTCGTCCACGACGTGCTGCGTGTGTCCATGGCCCGACGTCGACCCCGTGCCCATAGGGATTGCGGGACCCAACTTTCAGGTCGTTGGCCCATTGCCCGACCTTCTCCGCATCGAATGCACAGGCTTCAAATGGGGCGACACGTGCTCTCCAGTCTGCGCACCTGGATACCACGTGGAAGAAACGCTTCTCTGCAGCACCGTCTCCGAGAACGGGACGGTCCTCATAGACGGGGAGTGGCAGGGTACCGCCAGGTGCGAGCCCAACGTTTGCGTGGGACGCCCTGCCTTAAAGATGCCAGTCGGCTACGACGGCGTAGGCGCGGGCTGTTCCGACCGGAACTACACGCAGACGTGTGACGTTTCGTGCTCGGAGTACGATGGTATGAAAATTTGGCGAACCAAATCCTGATCGAGTGCACGGCTACGACGGCCTACGACTGGGTCAACACCACTGGAGTGTGCACAGAGAAGGCTTGTCACGCGGACAAGGTACCATTCATTCCGAACGTGGTCGACAGCTCGTCCTGCGTCGACATCGCCAGCGGAGCAAATTGTCGGGAGGCTCATGGTGGGCAGGGCCGTTTGGCGTCCAAACTTATCACCTACCCTCCGAGTCCAGGCGAGAGGGGGAGCAGTGAGCAGAAGCCGTGCCTCCCTGTGCCTCCCCCCCTGCTTCCTCCCCCCCGTGTCCTCTCTTACTACCTTTCGCTCTCGCCCTGTTCCTTATCTATCTCTCTCTCTTTCGTTCCTCGCCCCCCCCTCGCTCCTCTCTCGCCCCCGTCTGGTCACCCCCTCCTGAAGGGGCCGCGCGTCTCTGTTCAGCGAAGGTAACTGCGCTTCAACGGGGGGCATCCAAGAGGACGGATGCCCTTGGCGGAAGGCCGGTGGAAGCGAGTGCACTGTCGTCGCCTCCTGCTGCTTTTACTTTGGGCCCCCGGGGGCAGAAAAACGTGAACGTGGCATGCCGTAGCGTCTTTGTGCGTTGGTTGTCGTGGCGGTGGCGGTGCCCGTTGCTCGGAGGATGTCGCCTCGAGGCCCTCCGGCGGAGCATCGCGTCGCAGCAGAGATCCGCAGTCGATGGCGCAGTGGGCCCTGCGATCGTCCCTCCTCCTCCTGCCCTTGCTCGTGCTCTTCCTGCTTCTCGCAGCTAACTGTCCGTAGCCATATCGGCTCTGGCAGCGCGCCAATACGGCGCCAGCGAAGTTGGTTCAAGCATGGCGCCGAGGCCAGCGTGAACGCGGGGAGGTAATTCCCTGGAGAAGTTGGAACACGAGAATCGTCACGGTAATGTGGCAGGGTGTGTGGCCAGGCGGTGCTGCCAAGGCTAGTGGGAGGTAAGTCCCTGAGCACGGGCAGTGTTACTGCGCGTGCGTCGTAGCCACGGTAATGTGGCAAGGTGCGCTTCCATGCGGTAGTGCAGGGGCGACCTGTGCAGCTGGTAGAGGCTGCGGCGGTGCAGAAACCAATGCGGCGACCGCGGGTGACGAGGTGAAAAGGCCTCTTTTGTCTCCCCGTCTCCGCGCATGTGTGACCCAGTCAGGGCCCGGTTACGCTGTGCTCGAGCGGTATTTGCTCGACCACGACGTCCTGAATGTCGTGAAAGCAGGCACGTGGTTTCACTCGGCGGAAGATGTCGCCGTAGACATGGGCGGTATAGCCCCGGTCGGCGGCATTGGGCCCTACACTGCGTTTTACGCGAGTGTAGAGGCGGCAGCGAATGCATCCGTGCATGGTGCTGCGCGCGCAGACTTGGCCAGTGGCACGTCGAGAGTGTTGACGCCGGTACGTGCGTCCGGCGCACACGCTGTGGTGGCGAAGCCGGCACAGGCTTCCCAAGTAAGCGGCAGACGTAAGCGCCGCAAACAGAGCGGTGAGGCTACCTGCCAGGATCGCGAAAATGCGTTCTTGGAGGTGCAGCTCGAAAGGTGTGAGGAACTGGCACGAGAGCTTTCTGCGCATCCCCCCCGGATGCAACGATTCATGCGGCGTGGGCTCGCCTGGTGCGACCAAGTGGATCTTCTGAGGCCGTTGTTCACGAAGAAAGCGACTGTGGCGACCACGCTCAGATCCCACCTCCGACGTCTGAATCGCTTGAGGTCTTGGGCAGAGGCGGCGGGACGAGATCCGTGGGTGCTAGACGCTGAAGATCTCGCTCTCCACCTGCGGGATGCTCGTCAGAGGTGCGCGTCAGTGCCCAGATCTACTTTCGCATCCCTGCTGTGGGCACAAGAAATCTTCGAACTCAAGTGGCCGCTCGCCGACTCAGCGGTGGAAGCGCAGAGAACGGCGTCCACCAGGCAAGCGGAAGAGTCCAGGCAACAGGCCCCGCCCCTCACCCAGGAGATCGTGGACCAACTCTTGGGCGCCTTTTTCGTTGCAGCGGCGTCTCGCGACCACGGCACTGTGATCACGATGGGCTTCATCATGGTCCTGGCTTTCGCATGTTTGCGGCGGTCAGACTTGCAACGGTCGGCGGCGTGCGCCTTGTCCCCAGATGCAATATATGCGGAGACATGGCGATCGAAAAAGAAGATCGGCAAGACCCCGTGGGCCGCGCCGCGTCGTGACTGGCAAGGGCGGGACTGGGGCGGCCCGCTCTGGACGACGATCTCGATGTACGTGGATCTTCGCAGTGCTGATTTTGTGGTTCCGGCTGTCTCTTTTCATGCGGGAGCTTTCGTGATCCTGCAGCCAGCGAGGCCAATGTCGTATTCGGGTGCACTGAACGCTATGCGACACGCCTTGCGGGTAGTCGGCGTCGCTGGGGACGTGACGGAGTGGTCGCTGCACAGTCCGCGGTTCTTCCTGCCTTCCCTGGCGGGCCAATTGCGTTTTCCCATGGAAGAGCGCAGAACGCTGGGTCATTGGGGCCCCGCGTCGGGCATGCCAGTCCGGTATGACAGGGCGCGGTGCGTGACCGAGTTGCTATTGAAATATGAAATCGTGGAGCGGCTTCGTGCTGGATTCAAGCCTGCCGGGGCCTTCGAGCTTCCGGGGCGCCGGGATACTCGCCCAGCGGACACGCCTGCCGCCGCGCCAGAGTGCGACGGGCGAGAGTCTCCCACAACCCCTGCGCGGGAGTCTGAGGCTGTGGCCTCCGCGAAGCAAGTCGGTCTGGTGTTGAACTCGAGCAGTAAGGTTCTGCGTCGGCAGTCAGCCGAGGAGCCGAGAAGGACGGTGTGCGCCTTCTGGTGGGCGTGCTCCCGCCGATCGGTGGAAGCAGTTTCGGGCATGCCTCAGCGCTACGTCGACCAGGGCTACGTGCGCTGCGGGAAGTGCTGGTCGCACGCGCGCACAGGCTTGCCCGAATGGCAGGGGGAGGAGAGAGCGAGCGCAGACGGCGGACCGCCACCTGGGGATACGCGAGATTCCGATGCGAGTGACGGGTCTGCCAGCGCCGACACCAGCGACGCCCGGTAAGGGGCACGCGTTGGGTGGGATCACCTGCTCGCCGCTTGGAGTGTCCAGGCCTGGCAGGAAGCGCGTTGGGATGAGGCCTGGACAAGGCCGCGTGCCCCCAGCCACAGACAGAAGACAGCGCTGCACACCTATAGCCAAAGAGAGCCCCAGAAAAGTGGGGAGGTAGGAGGAAGGAAAGAAAGGGGGGGAAGGAAGAGGCACTGGAAGGACGGGAGGAGGTCGAGTGATAATTGTCGGGAGGCTCATGGTGGGCAGGGCCGGTGGCGTCCAAACTTATCACCTACCCTCCGAGTCCAGGCGAGAGGGGGAGCAGTGAGCAGAGGCCGTGCCTCCCTGTGCCTCCCCCCCTGCTTCCTCCCCCCCGTGTCTTCTCTTACTACCTTACGCTCTCGCCCTGTTCCTTATCTTTCTTTCTCTCTCTCTCTCTCTTTCGTTCCTCGCCCCCCCTCGCTCCTCTCTCGCCCCCGTCTGGCCACCCCCTCCCTGAAGGGGCCGCGCGTCTCTGTTCAGCGAAGGTAACTGCGCTTCAACGGGGGGCATCCAAGAGGACGGATGCCCTTGGCGGAAGGCCGGTGGAAGCGAACGCACTGTCGTCGTCTCTTGCTGCTTTTACTTTGGGCCCCCGGGGGCAGAAAAACGTGAACGTGGCATGCCGTAGCGTCTTTGTGCGTTGGTTGTCGTGGCGGTGGCGGTGCCCGTTGCTCGGGGGACGTCGCCTCGAGGCCCTCCGGCGGAGCATCGCGTCGCAGCAGAGATCCGCAGTCGATGGCGCAGTGGGCCCTGCGATCGTCCCTCCTCCTCCTCCTCCTTCCCTTGCTCGTGCTCTTCCTGCTTCTCGCAGCTAGCTGTCCGTAGCCATATCGGCTCTGGCAGCGCGCCAATACGGCGCCAGCGAAGTCCCACAAACCCGCCCTAGTGACCTTGGATAAGACATGGTAGAGCTAGACGTGCGCCTGTCGAAGCTCGGGTCGGACCCCCGCGTCGCGGACTATTTGAATTTCAAGGGCATGGTGAATATAGGCCAGTTTGCTGGCCTGGCGGACTCCAAAGCAGACTCCGTCGTTGGGATCTGCGTCCCGGCAGGGCTAGATGGGACAGACCGTCCTTTGTGCCAGCCTGTCAAGGCAGCCTGGCAGGAAACCGAGGCCCTCGTCGCAGGTGAGCTCGACCTGATCTGGAAGGGCAAGGGCGGGGGCTGGGACGACCCGGTCGACCCAGAAGTGCGCGAGAAGAGAACGGCGAGCTTCGTGGGCCACTACCACATTCGCCTCCCGGCGCACCTCATGGGGAGCGACGCGTTGGCGGGCCGCCTGGTCCGCGAGCACGAGCGGCGCGCCCCCACGGTCACGACCTGCGCAAGGTCCGCGCGCTGAACAGCGAGGCGGGGATCTCGGCGTCTGGCGGTGGCGCCAGCGCCCAGAACAGCGACGACTCTTCCGGCACCCAGACCGCCGTCGGGTTCATGTATAAGCACAGGGTGCTCATGAACACGTTGGCCTTGGCGGCTGCGCCCGACTGGGCGTCTGCGGACTGGTCCGTCCTGCTCGACTACCACGAGTGGGTTGTCCTCAAACTGTTCGAGCGCAAGAACGGCCGCAAACCCACCGTGGACGCCGTCATGGAGGCGGACCGCCAGATGAGGCCCAAGTGGAAGTCCCTCACGGAGGCCGTCCAGACGTGCCGCGCGGAATGGGTGTCCTTGTTTTCGGGGCTCCACAGCGACCGTTCCGGCGCGGTCGACGGCCCGCAGCAGGCGCCTCCGAAGAAGGCCCGCGTGGGTCTTCCGCGCGTGGAGTCCGTCGGTGGCAAGCAGGTTCGCGCGTTCTACAACGAAGGGAAGTGCACCTACGGGAAAAAGTGCAAGTACCTCCACGTGTGCAACGTCAAGGGGTGCGGCCAGGAGCACCCGGCGTGCGAGGCCCACAAGGGGGCGTGAACCCCCGCCCGCCCGAGCCACGCGCCATCCCAGCGAGGCTTGGTTGACGATAGTGAAAACGTTTCTGGGCCACCAGAGAAGCGTTTGAGAGCGTCATCTGCGAACTCGCAAGGTGTGGAATGGCAGGACCCGGCCGGCGCGGTTCCAGCGCCAGCGCGGGCTGCCCGCGCGGCGGCGGGAGGACTGCAGCCTCGCGGCGCTGGCGGCCCCCCTCTCGTGCCGGAGGGCGTGGGGCCCGACGGTTTCCTGCACCGCGTGGCGTCCGCAGTGCACCCCACGCAGGCGCCGCCTGTCTTGCGCGACGCCGCCGGCGCAGCTTACCAGCGACAGCCGGCCAACGCAAGCGTGCTTGTCGAGAGGAGAATGCGGGCGTGCGCGCAGATCTCGGAGTGGTCGAAAGAGCTCCAGGATCAGAGGCGCGCCTGGTCAGAGTCGCTGCATCCAGACGTGAAGTGTGTCATCGACCACTTGCACGGACCGTTGCTCCAGAAACTTGTGGCCATGTCTCACCACCCCGATGTCCGGCATTTCGAGTCCCTGTCCGCGGGCCGGCCAGCCTTGGGGCGGATTCAGACTGCAGGTGCGTGTGCGGGGGGGGGTCGCCAAGGAACGCGGTAAGGCGCTCCCGACCAGACAGGCAGCGGGGGCACCACCAAATCAGGTGTCCGGCTGTTGGCGCCCGCGGCGTCGAGGCCGCCGCCAGCCGCCAGGCCGGGGCAGCAGCCGATAGCAAGGTTGGGGGGCGGATGTACCGAAACTAGAAACCGATTTCCTCCTCTTCTTCCCCCTTGTCCCTACTCCCCTTCCTCCGGCCGCGCAAGCAGACGGTGGCGCCCTCGTTGCCTGCTATACAACAAGGAACAGCGCCCCTTCCCGCATACGTCGCAGGTGTGCGGCGCGTAGCAGAGCGAACGCCACAGGTGGACCTGGCGGAGTGGCTCAGGGACGCGCCAGACCGGAGTGTTAGAATTGTCGACGCTGTCAAATCCTCCGGAGATGTGCTGCTCGACAAGATGGCATGGGAGAAACGGAAGGCTGAGATCGCGTCCGGCGCTGCGCAAGGCCCGTTCAGTGTGAATGAAGTGGACTTGCCGGCCATCGCGGCGCACCCGAGCTTCCCAGTATGGGAGCGAGGTTCACAAGGCCAATGGAAAGCACGCAACATTGAAAACTTGAGGGCAAGTGGGGCCAACGCAACAGTGCACACGTGCGAGGCGTACGCCCCTGACGACCTAGAAACGGCGAGGGCAGCCGTCAGGTTCTGCAAAGAGCTCTGGGGCGGCGACGAGCCTTTGGCGGGCTTCTCCTCTGACTACAGCGGGGCCTTCCGGCAAAGCCCCTTGTCGCCCGATCAGATACCATACATGTGGTCTGCCGTGTGGCACCCGGGCCGCAGAGAGCCAGCGTTGCTGAGAAATCTTAGGCAGGTGTTTGGCGGCGCAGGGACGCAGTTCAATTATGTCCGAGACCCTTTAGCAACGTGCTCGGTAATGCATCATTTCTTCGACGTCCCAATGCATCATTATAGTGACGACGCATGGGCTGTGGAGCGCGCGTCGATTGGGCAGTCTGCGTGGTTCTGTTGGGCGTGGCTCAACAAGGAGGTGAGGTGGCGCCTCGACTTCGCCAAATCACCGCTGCCGTCGGGCACCTGGGGGTTATTGGGCGCAGAGCTCCATGTGGGCTGCCCGCAGCCCCTGGCCCGACTGCCCCGGGACAGAGTGACATCGCTGTTGGCCGACCTCGAGTGGCACCTGCAGCGGGGTCGTTTGAGTTCAGCAGAGGCCGGGTCCTTGCGCGGCCGGCTGGGCTGGGCGCGCTCTTTCCTGTTCGGCCGGCAGGGCGCCGCTGTCTTGGCCCCGCTGCGGCGCAGACAGTTCGACGATAAGGATCGACGCGGTTTACCCGCTTCCTTGCGAGCCGCCTTGTCTTGGTTCTGGGCCGCAGTGTCAGAGCAGTCAGGGCGCGAAGTTCCCTTCGACCTCGGGGATTGGCCCCTCCTGGTCACCGTCAGCGACGGAGAGGGCACTGGGCGCGTCGCGGCGGGCATTTGGAAGCCGCGCGACCCAGGATTTCGCCCCATGCTTACGGCTGCCAACGCCCCGTCCGAGTGGCTTCGCCGGTGGTCAGATGACGGCCGCCGCGGCAACGCCATCCAGGAGATCGAGGCAGTCGGCCCGCTCCTGGCCCTTGAAACGTGGCCTTCCCTGTTGACCGAATGCGCGTGGATTCACTTCATCGACAACGAGGGCGCCAAGCATTCCCTCATCAAAGGGTCCTCCAAGGCTGTCCACGCCATCCAGATCATCTTCGCTACTTGGGAGGCATGCCGTGCCCGGCGTTTATATCCATGGTGGGGGCGCGTTTCCTCGGCAGACAATCCGGTTGATAGGGCTTCCCGAGGTGGCCTCAGCGACCGCTGCGGCCAGAATTGGGAGATCGTCGAGCCCGCCCCGCCTGCGCCGTGGGGCGGGGGGCCGGATGCGGCGGAGGCGTGGGGGCGAGGCCTGGGCAAGGCCGCGCGCCCCCAGCCACAGACAGAAGACAGCATTGCACACCTATAGCCAAAGAGAGCCCCAGAAAAGTGGGGAGGTAGGGGGAAGGAAAGAAAGGGGGGGAAGAAGAGGCACTGGAAGGACGGGAGGAGGTAGAGTGATAATTGCTCGCCCGCGTGCAACTCGTCACACGAGCTCCTCGCTCCCATCGAATGCACGAGGGGCGTTTTCGACATGGTCCCACTGGTCTGCATGCCGACTGCGGACATAGAGGCTCTCGACTCTGCAGTGGGCCTTGTCGTGGAAGTGGCGCTCGTCGAGGGCAGCTTGGACTCAGGCCTCGCCGCCGAGTGGGCCGCAGGAAATTTGCAGCGGGGCGCGATCAAGGGCGCGTTCGGGGCGGTCCTCGGTCTGTCCACGGACCAGATCCACGTGTGCACGGCGAAGCGCCTGAACTCCGATTACCAGTCTGGCCCTCCAGCGAGGCGCCTGGCGACGTTGCAGGGGTCGCGGATAAAGCTGATGTTTCAAATCTACCCCGCCGACGATGAGACAGCTGTCACGGACGGCCTGGCCAGCCTCAACGCAGATGGGGGCAGCCTCATCAGCGAGCTCGTTTCTGCCCTGCGGGATGCCGGCGCTGCTGCCCCACAGGGCCTCGCCGCGGCCAGGCTCGTCGTCGGGGCGCCCGTGTCCACCATCGTGACCGTCCCTGTGGCGCGCTGGGTGGCGCGCGAATCATGGTCGCTTTGCAGCAACTTGTGCGGAGCGGGGGAGCAGACTCGCACAGTGGACTGCCTGACTGGCGCTGAGGACCTGTGCAATGCGAACGTCCCGCCAGGCTACACCAAGGAGTCGTTTATGCCCGACACAGGGGTGTGTGAGACGTACGTCTCGCGCCCGCGCGACTGGTTCTGCCCATCAGGCCCGGGCCCCGTCGCGGGCGACGGCTGCGATGCGCGGGCCGGCATCGTAGCCGCTGTGATCGCCGTCGTTTGTTTCATTGTGTCCACTGCTGGGATTCGGCATTTTCGGAGAATGAGCGTGGTACCGACGAGTGGGATGGTGAATATTAGGGGGTTGGATCGGCCAGGTGACCCAGTTGAGGTCGCGTGGACGAGGACGGAGGGGGTCGTTGACGAGGACGGTCAGCAAAAGACGAGGTTGCACTACGACCCCACCATGGAGCAGATGGCCCAATTCGACGCGCGCGAGGACCGCGAGCGGGGCTGCGCCAATCTGATACCACTGGACCCTGGGGAGGACTCGTTCTTGAAGGTGGACCTGAACTTGAGCGGAACGATGGACTTCGAGCTTCACTTGACGATCAGGACCAAGGCCAGAGACTTGCTGCTGTTCGGCAAGGTTTTCCCCAATGACAAGCCGCCATTCGGCATCGGCAAGGCGATGGTTTTGTTGATCAAGCATGGCAAACTCTGCTGGCAAGTTGGCGAAGGTTGCATCACTGGGAAGACCGACATTGCAGACGGCTTCCAGCACAAATTCTCAGTCGGGCACAGAGCGCACCAGGAGCAATACTACCTCGAGGTCGACGGCATTTTCGAAGCGAAAGGGCTTTGCGGCGCTGCTGACCACCAGGATACCATCCTTGTCCTCGGCAAAGAAACTGCGCCGAGAAACGGCGAGTTCAACGAGCTCTACCCCTTGTTCGAAGACTTGCACGGCAGCGGCTTCGAAGTGCTCTCGGCGGAGCAACAGGGGGAGGCGCCCCTCTTTGACGGCGACGTCGACCACCGCGTTTGGAAGGAGTACAGATGGAATAAGAACCGGGGAAGGTACGCATGGTTTGCATACGCATTGTGCATCGAGTCTGACGAGGTGATCGACCACAAGATGTCGAAGCAGGAGGCCGAGGAGGAGAAACGCCATTCCACCGAACCGCAGTCGGTCGTCAGCCCGCCCCACTGGGCATGCCACAAGAACCAGGACGTGGAGTATTGATCAGCAACCTTGCGCACGTGGCTCCCGGCCAGGATCATCGATTCCAGGGGTATGTACTTCGACGAGTATCTCAAGTTCAACGTTTTCCACTACGAAGTGTATGTGGGGGCGTCCAGGCAGTTGGTGCACGGCGTTGTGATGAATGACTTGCGCTTACCACTTGTTGACGGCGACTTGATCAGCGTGTACTCCCCTAACCATAGGCGTTTCTTTCCCGCTCTGGTCCGCAAGCCGATGAGGCACATTGACCCCGGAAACGGATATGACATCGAGCTGGAGGACGAGCTGGCCGACGATGGGGAGACGTACGCCAAGTCTGAGCTGCAGAAGGATCTGCAGATTCAGAACAGGGACCGGAAATCCGATGCTGCAGGACGAAATTCGAGCTTGGACGGCGTGGACGAATTTGGACGTGGAGAGAGGCCGCTTGGAGTCCCGGCTTAGAGGGACTTGCCCGAGCAGGGCATGGAATAATATAGG